CTTATAAGGTGTATCGTAGTTTCTAGGGCTTATAGGGGCCTCCTCCTTTTGGACCTCCAGCTGGTAGGTGGCCAGTTGGCTAATTAGAGCCCAAGAATTCTGGCGCTTTACTAAAAGCTCTATTTATTTTATAACGTTATCTATGTTATAGCGATAAAAACCCTTGGAAATGAATATCGTCTTATCTAGTTTAAGGTGTATACGCTATATATAGGGGTGAATATCGTTAACTCCCTAACAAATTTTCGTTGACAAGCGATCGGATCGCTGTAAAGTGGTATCGTTAGCACACTGAAATCGTCTTATCAAGGTTTGGGTGTATATTCTGCCATTTACTTCCATCGATAGGCTGGCTTCAGGATTGCTTCGCAACCTTGATGGCACCTTGATGGCAACCCGACTTGATATATACACCTATATAACCCGTGCTGCGTATCCAAGGGGGTGGCATTTGATGTGCCAGAACCATCTTGTCAATTTTCCTCGACTATTCCGTACGTAAAGACCGCCCATCCCAACGGGCAACGGCGCGATTTCGCTACCGCTTGGGGTGCTTACAAGAAGGTAGGAGGCATGCGGATGCAGACGGTTTGCAACTCAAACACTTGTCAAAAGTTACAAAGTGCCCTTTAAACCTTTTTTCTTCCACTTTTTCTAATTTACCAACTCCTAAGACCATGTCTCGTTATATTTACTCTAGCTGACCGGGTCTCTTCGCCGAATCGGGTAAAATTACGGTATCTCACGTGATCGGTGTAAACTACCGATTTCAAGTCTCCCTGGGGCCACTCTAATAGTGGCGTCTGGGCGATCGTATCGAGGAGCACGGGTAAAAGACCCGGCTAAGAAAGATGCGGCCAAGAACAACATGCCGACATGTTCGGAAAGTTGAGATGGCGTGAGACGGAGAAATGATGGCATCTCGCGCACGCAATCAGAGACCGTCAACAAGGGGGGGTTTCTTGGAGACTCGAGAGTCAAGAACTCCAATTGGAGACTCAAAAGACTTGTAGTCCCAAAACCCACTTGTGAGTCAGCGGCGACGAGACGATTGTTCTCAGGGTCTCGACGGAATTGCCGAGACACTCCGAGTTTTTTCCTTAATCATCTCGGCCGGTATCCCGGCAATTGGGGGGACATCCGATTAGGTAAGTATTCCATGATACCTTATTATTATAAGTATGTTGCATCATTCGTGATGAGATCATTGTTCCTTCTGCACCGAGAAACTTTACAGTATCATTTCTTTTTGCAATTATCATAATTTCAAGCAAAACTCAACCACAAAATGTCATACTCTCTGCACCCTTCTATTGACAACGGCCTCCAGGCCGGCGATCCCAACTTTGCCGGAGGCAAGCTCTACTGCCACTGTGCAAGCGACAAGGTCGAGGTTGAGATCAAGGGAAACGTTTTGCACAACCATGCGTGTGGTGTAAGTCAAACTCCATATTTGACAAGGCCTATCAGTGGGCGGCGGGAAAAAAGAAAAAAGAAAAGAGATTGCTTCACTTGGTGCAAGGCCTCCTCGGGTATTCAAGTGGAGAGAGCACAACCTCACTTTATTTGCGATTATTCCAGAGCAAGCACTAACGGGAAGAACACAGTGCTCGAAATGCTGGAAGCCATCCGGTGCTCTATTCTCCATCGTCGCCGTTGTACCGACAGACAACCTCAAGGTGACAGCAAACGGAAACAAGCTCAAGATCGTCGACGAGAGCGCCGCCATCCAGCGCCACGCGTGCTCGCAGTGCGGCGTCCACCTCTTTGGCCGCATCGTCACGGACCACGCCTTCAAGGGTCTCGACTTTGTGCACGTCGAGCTGAGCGATAGCAAGGGGTGGCAAGAGCCTCAGTTTGCGGCCTTTGTGAGCTCCATTATCGAGCAGGGCTTCTCGCCCGACAAGGCCCCCGAGGTCAGAGAGAAGTTGAACAAGCTCGGACTTTCGACGTATGATGCTCTGAGCCCACCTCTCATGGATGCCCTCGCGACTTATAATGCCAAGAAGTCGGGCAAGCTCTCAGCTTAATTGTAGCCACAAAAAGTGGTGTTATAGCCTGACTAGTGAAAATAAAAAAGAAATGAGCAATTTGACTTTAATATCATGACTGACTGGATTCAAGTGAAAAAGTGCTATAACGTCTACTAATCTAATGTGTATTCTCCGTTGAATTTCAAACACTGCGAGAGTCGGTATGAAGGCATTCGACATGGTACCCTTCTTTGTGCTCTCCGAACCCTTTCATCAACAACAGTAATGGCCGGTTTCCATTCCGAGCTGCTTCTTAATTTTTCAACTCTCCAACCTCTTATAAGTTTGTAGAGATGATGTTTCGATATCAAACTTTCTGCGTCTTCTCTTCCTTCCTGATCGGTTCGATGGGAGCTTCGACCTTGTCCGTCATGAGGTCTTTGACCCCGCGTAGGCAAGCCACGGCGACAATCGCCAGCACGACAAAAGGTATGATACTGGCCCACGCGAGACGGTACGCATGGGCATACTCCCAATGTCGCGCATCAATGGCCGCCGACCACACGGCTGACGTTGCTCCTGGAACACTAATGTCAATTTGTCCCGCGTCAAGCGAATCCAAGAGTTGGCCGACAGAGCTTTCTGGGAGACCGGCCCCCGTGGCGGCATCGGCAACGGCAGATGCGTAGTGAGTGCTTAGCCGTCCATTGATGATGGCATTGAGGACAGCCGATCCAAAGGCTCCACCAATTGCCCGCGCAGAGAATGCCAGGCCTGTCGCCGTCGAGAGGTAGGCGTGTGACGCAGTGAATTGCACGCAGGCGACTAGCAGGGTTAATGGCCCAGACTGGCCCATACCAGCGAGAACGTTCAAGGCTATCTGGGCGCGGTTCCATGATGGTTCAATGGCAGCATAGGATATCGTTCTTGAGCATAAAACATTAACTGCAGTCAAGATATCGTGGACCAGGGCTCGACTTACACTGCGAGGAAGAGGGTGAAAGTGACCAAGAGCGGGGATTTCAAATCCTTGAACTTTGTGGCATATCTAGTAGTAAACTAGTTAAAGCTGCTCATGGGCCATGTTTTTTGAATGAACTCACAAGGTAATTGGAATGCTGGTGAGAAGTGTAGGTAATTGCGTCGAAAGCTGTCGTACAGAAATACTCCACGCGTTGTCCTCAAACCCCAGATTCAGAACGAGTTGTGGGGTGATGGAGTTGAAAGCACTATAAAAGATCCACCCTTCTACAGCAAAAGCAAAGACGCTCAGAAAGAAGTTCAAGTTGTCTTGGAAGAATACGTGAGCGATCAGACCATCCGCTCGACCTTTCCATTCTGGATATTGGAGACTCGTGATCAGTTCATCGCTGTTCATGGGAAATCCATACAGTTGTGAAACATACCGTAAAGTAGGAACAAGACTAGCAGTACTATCCCAATCGTCAGTGGTGCAACTACCGTTGCGCTTGACCAAGAATAGGCTCCTGCAGCCCAGTCCAATGCAAGAAGCATCAAAGTGGCCGAGCAAATGAACAAGAATGATCCTATGGGATCACAGGCCCAAATGTATCCTTTCACGGACATTTTGGGGTATTCAATGTGTTCCTGGGGCCAATAGAAGCAGAATAGGCCCAATGAAGACACTAGATGGAAAGCAGCTTGAAGCCAAAAGATATATCGCCATCCTCCGGCATCAATGTTGGTCAAGGCACCAGATACAAGACTGCCTAGACTGTAGATTTTGTCAGCCGAGTTGAAGTTAAATGCGACCACAGTACCTACAGTCCGCCCACGGCACCTCCCAAGTATGCGAAACCATTGGCCAGGGCTCGATATTTCAACGGGAGAATCTCCGAGGGAATGGCCTGGACAACAGCGATTGTTGACAAGGTGGTCCCGATGAGTATGCCACCGCCAATGAGCATGCTCATGGATGTTGCCTTGGCCGATATCACGGCCCCTGCGAATGCGATTAAAGGTGGCAACGCCGCCAGATACTTTCTGCTGAGCACATCCGACAGTCTTCCGACGATAGGGGACAGAACGCTTTGCATAAGCAGCGGGCCCTGGACTTGTCGTTACAAGGTGAGTGCATAGATATTTCCCTTGGAAATACTTACTTGAATGATCCAACCTGAGAGTGAGGGACTGCCTACATCGCGAATGATGAATGCTATCACGGATCTGCAACAGCGCTTGTCAGAAACAGTACCAAGGACAACGAAATGTATACCTACCCAGCAGCAACTACAACAAAGACTTGAGACATGATACTGGTTTCATCGAGTTAATCATGTATTTCACGGCCAAATGGTAATTTGGAATGGCTCATACGCAAAGCAAGTGATGAATACAACGACCTGTGTGAATCGTTAGCTGGCGATAATCCACATTCAAATGTCTCAACGCACCCACGACCGCCAACTGAGGTCAATATGTATTGCATCTTGTTGGGCTTCTTCTCTAAGAGTCAAAATGTTCTTTTCTTCATGGTGGTGTTGAGACTTTTCCTCAGGCCCAGGGCCTTCCTTCGCAGTCTCGTTCGCCATGGTCGTATCGTCGTCGTAGCCGGGCACGTTTAGGGGGGATGAGAATACAAGATAGATAGGCCACACCGATTGTCTTTGGGATTTTCCTCCCCCAGGTCAGAGAGCAATGCCTGGAAGTGTTACTCCGCAGTCTCGGGAAACCACTGCTGGGGCAGCTTACAAGGGTCGGTATGCACCCCAGAGCACGCTATACTCCATCTGTGGTATCTATGCTGCTCTATTGTTTGTGATCCCCAAGTGATGCCTTGGTAGTTATGCGGGGTCGCTGCGGCAGTTCCTCGCCATCCCAGACCTCGCTTATTTCGTGTTACCTTTGGCTGACTGATCACTGACATTTCTCTGCCAAGACAATACAGGAACAATCATTTGCGCCACGTCACGTAGAGATTTCATAGATACAGAGGTCCAGCACTGTAATTACCTTACTTGTACGTTGAGCGACTGGCCCTGTTTATACCAATATGCCGGTTTGCCAATTGTCAAGATCTAGACAAACCTGCCGCGGTTTATGAACGTCAACTTCTATCCAACCAATCCTTTTCATCTCTCTCGGAATCAAAACTTGAGCCTCTATCACGATAATGCCATAGTATCAATGTAGATGGCCGTTGGGTACAACGGGGGTCTCGTTTTCTTCCTCTGGTGATAGCATGAAGTTTATTCCTAAGCCCGAGTCTTCCTCACGCTTTGTCCAACTGGCTGCTGACTACGCAGTAATCAGAACCATGGTTTGCCATGACTCCAAACCGGACGGAAAGATGGGACCGTCGTCAGGAAAAAAAGCGACGAGTATAATCGAGACGCAAAATCAAGACTAGGCGTGACCCTGGCGAGAAACTTACATCGCGCTTCTTCTTGGGTCCCGTCAAGCCGTGCTCTCTGCGGCAGGCGCCCTCGGCTGAGTCAAATGCGTGGATAAGCTCACACATCGCGGCCGCAACGGTGGCGACAGTCGGGGTGCTCTAGAACTCGACGGCGTCTCCATTGGCGTCGAAAGCGCGGGGCTCGAGACGGGCGGCGACATCCTCTGAGGCAACGTGACGCCAGAAGGTGCGTCCGTAGTCGAGGAGGACGATCAAGTCCATGGCGTCTCCAGTCATGATACCAGGAGCCTAGCTGGCGTCAACATGGCGAAACGCGACCCTCTGGGAACAGGGGAACTTACAGTCTCGCAGTGGTCCTTTCTCTTCTTGCACCGCTTGCACAAAGTGTTCCTCTCGAGAACATACTTGATCTCGAACTTCTCGGGGCGGTCACCCCGGCGAACCCAGCCCGTGAGGTCCTGCAGGTAATCCTTCTTGGGAGTGCGCAAGCAATATATGCAGAAATTCTCTGCGCGGGGACTGGCTGGTCCCGCGGCAGCAGATGCCTGGGGGGATCGCCAGTTCCAGCGACTCGTCCTCGGATGGTGGCGAAGGGGTCGTCACTGTCACTCATGATGGCGGACGATGCGCTGGCGAGGGAAATCACGCGATGGGGCAGGATTACAATCACGATTAAATTTATTTGTCACTGAACTTGAAATCTATAATCTGATTTTCTCCATACCAAGTTGTATGTATTGACTAGGTTAGACTTGGGCATCAACATGACACAGCCCCTTTGAAACTCCCGAAATTATAGGAGGCTGCCTTTATAGTATCATCCATCCCGTTGAGTCTTTCCATGCGGCTCTTCTCTTCAATTCAAGAGAACTGTGACGCGAGAATTTTGTAGTACCGCCCTCCGAAAAGACGTCGTGGTCCATGTGACTTGCTCCATAATGCATTCCTTAGATACACATCACTAGAGTCGCCTCCCATATCGCCCCAATCGCTGTACCTATGTGCATTCTGCGCAACATCTTCCCTTTCGAAATTAAAGGTAGTTTCTCCTCTGCGACATCTTCTTCATCTCCTTACGGACGACACGAGCGTCCTGGTACATTGATCTCCAAAGTGGCAAGCACAAGTTCGTTTCCTTGAATTCAGGTAACGGATCTGCAGCACGAACTGCCATTCGATCGTTCGGCGTCCAGAGATAGTGCTGGATGTGAGTTCTTGCCGCCTGAAGATTGAATGCCATGACATGGGAGAACTCGTTGCGATCGTAATGCATGCAGACTCGCGCCTTGGTTTCCCCGGTCAAGCGGTCGCCATTATCCCAGGTTACATCCTTAAAGGTATGCATTGCACCATGCTTATCCACAATCTTGAAGACGACGGTATCGCCGACGACCTCTGGGCGGCATAGTGCTTCTGCGCCCTTTCTTTTGCCAGCTGGTATTGTTGTGGCTCCATCCGCCTTCTTGACGACATCCTTGTTCCACACTCCGACGGTGATGGCGTTCATGTCCTGCTTCTTGGGCTTCCAGGCCGCTTGGATAGGGCGTCGCGAGGTATTCCAGTCATCTTGAAAGATTGAAGTTACGAACTCGGTAAAGTCGTCGTCTGTGTAGGCATTGTAGGTCTTGCGGGCGGATCGTGGTGCTAGCTGCTTGATAGTCTCCCAAATGCTCTTGATCGTGGCCATTTGGCCATCGTCGAGATCCTCGACGCGACTAACTAGGACTGGCATGATGACAGTGCACTTGTGACAAATTATTAGCTTCCCAACGTGATTAGGCGTCATCTGGGGAACTCACATAGTTGAATTGGCGTTCGGAGATTGGCGTATCGCCGTTGGGTGAGATAGAAGGGTCTGATTGAGGGCGCGCCAGAGTTCTTCAAGAATATTGAACAGATGTGAGATGTTGGTGGATGACGGATAGTGGGTGTTTGGGGATCCTGTTTGGGTGATTGAAAAAGTGTTGCTTTCACTTTTTGTAACCCCCGAGGTCGGGTGTGTTGTTGAAGTTCTATTGGAAGAATAGGAAAGAACAGAAATAGAAGCTTGTGAAATGCTCAATCGAGACTACAGGGACTTTTGGGGACGCATAGGACGCAAAAATGGTCTTGGATTGTTGGAACCGGAACAGGAAAGACCGAAAACATAGAGGTTTTTTTTTTGACAAAAGGGAACGTACAAACGAGTATCATACACAGTATCGTACCTAGCATATTTACGAAACGATGGTCCACTCACATTACTATTGCGTTGGCCGAAAGCCTTATTCAGCATGCAGAAGCAAACGCCATCGAGTTGAAGCAATATTCTATATGAGCACAAGTGCAGAAGAGTGTTAATATTGAGTCAATGTCGTCAGGAAATACAGCATTATGCCATCCAAGATGCCGAACTCATGACTTGGCCCCATTACCATAACTACGATACCTTCTATAAACTGATTAATGCCATGGTATCCATCGCGACTCCGCTGCAAACAATAAGAGTATAAATCACAATGAATTGATATGTTTGTTGATTGTTCTCACAATACCCCGGCCACGGTATCCCATTGTTATACCATTCAATCGCCTTTAAAATTCCGCGTGGCCAACCGGCCAACACTGCGATCTGATCATTACAAACGCACAAACGGCACCACAAAGATTCCAGAATCACTCCAAGCACGCTCACGACTTTTTCGACTGCGTCCTCGACCTAGAGATATTCATTTCCAGAATACGCTCAACAACCATCAAAGGAACGACAAGCATCAGAGAAACATCGTGTGGACCGCCTGCCGCCTCACCTCCTCCGGCCGATACAACTACCATATCAGCAACAATGGAGAACGTATATGCACTCAGTGGCGCAGTGCCCATGCGATTCACAGACCTTACCACCCACACCAGGCGCCAGATGCGCGACTACCTCACGACTTGGGGCAGGCACCACATGCAGAACATGGGGCCAATCTCCCTCCGAAAGCTTGAGGAGGTTGTCGACGAGCTGATCTTCGACGCCTGGACTGGAGGCGACAAGATCACGGAGCCCAAGATGGATTGGCCAAAGATCACCGAGATCTATGTTGCGGTCGGCATTTTCAAGAAGGTAAGAAACCGAAACGATTTGATATTCTCGCCTGCTAATTCTCAAAGGACTTGCCTGACCCTAATCGTGCTCGGTCTCTTTTTGAGACTGACTATCTTGCCGAGCTGCTGACCTACCTCGGCCTGCGGGAGCGATACACTCCCCACGAATCGAGAAAGGCTGGAAAAACAGCCTGTGTCAGAGCACGACTGGATAAGTCGCAAGATGCCGTTATATTGGATTGGCTGGATGTTCGCGGCAAGTGGGTGCCATACACCTACATTGATTTTCAGACCCCCGACAACAAGCCATCCAATGCCATTATCGCTCAAGCCTGCCGGCAATCGACGCAGAGAAATGGTATCCCTCGGGAACACACAAAGTTCGTAGCATTCCCTAGATTTGCAGGTATTTTATATACTTTTTCTTTTCTTTAAAAAAGAGAAAGAGAAAGAGAAA